TATCTTGTACTGTGTGCCAGATGGTAATAGTTCAAAAAAAAGGTGGCCCGGGATGAGATAGATCTTTAAGAATGTTTTGAATTTTCTTAAGGCAGTGGGAGCTATAAAGCTCTTCCAAAGAGGGGAGAGAGCAACCAATGATCCTCTGGGCAGTGAGGCTAACCCTCTGGAGTGCTGACCTATCTGCCACTGTGCAATTGGCAAATCATACACAGGTGCAGTAAGTTAAAATACTCTCTATGGTGCAGCAGTAGGTCACCAGCAGTTTTTCATTCAGTTGTTGTTTCCTGAGAAGTTTCAGGTAGTATAATCTCTGCTGGGCCCTTTTGATCAGTGCTGCAATGTGAGTGCCCCAGGTTAGGTCCTCTTTTATGGTAACACCCAGAAACTTAAAACTGCTCCACTCGATAAGCAAGGGTTGGATGTCTGATCTATTCCTTCTATAGTCCACTATAAAAATGGTAATTTTCCAATGAAAGTAATGGAATTTAAGGAAATCTAATTTGTGCAATTTCAAGGTTATATTAAGTACTTCTCTTGTCTGATGAAGACTCATCTGTTACAAACCACAGATGAGAAATATGCTATTTAGATCTTGATGATAGAATGACTATGAAGCAATGTGATTCAATAAAGACATTTTTTTAAAAAATGAGTAAAAATATATGGAGTAGAAGTTAAATTTGAATCGCGTGAAATATTTTCATTCCATAAATACCAGCTCTATATCTAAATTAGCGAATAAGCCACACAATCTGAAAATTACTCATACCTATATTCCCCATGTCTTTGCCTTTTCTTCTCCCTTAAAAAGCAGTATCTACTTCCCCTCATCTTATATTCTATCTCTCATTTATATTAAGTTTTATTATATGAAAACAGCTGGGTGAGGAAGCAGAAAAGATGCAATATAGATGCAAGGCAAGCAGTTTTGCAGCTAGTCCCCCATTAGATGATTTGTTTCCTGGGTTCAAGGAAAAAGAAATAAAATCAGCTACAAAAACCAATTAGAAAAATTCTACCTAGGGTTGTTAATCTTTATGAAATGTGTAGAATTTTAGGGTTTTTCCATGCAAATTATAATTTTTAACCCACCTTTATTATATGGTAACTTAATAATTCAAGGTAACAAATATACCTAATATTCTTGCCTATATTCTATATCCACTATTTTACTGAATATTTCTTATGCAAAGATCAGAAGATGAGAGTCTCTATAGCCCCCAAACAATCCCCCAACTCTCAAAGTTTTCAGCTGCAAAAGGAACAGGGGGCAAAAAACCCTCTTTAACCTATATCGATTTTTTTTAAATACCACACCAAGGTACATAATGTTATTTGTTTTGGATCTGATTTAAAACAGCTTTGATTGATTTGTAAAGCCAACTAATCGTTTATTCATTAAGACATGATGAAGCAAAAATTTAAATCACTGTATCTTGGGTTCAACATAACTATAAATCCTTGTTTAATGCTAGCTGGATATGAAAGGGGAGGAGGCAAATTAATTTAAACCTTTTCCTGGTTTGCTAACTAACACTGGTAGCATCAAAACATAGCTTAGTTTAAGGAACACATTGGATTTGTCAATTAATATAGGGAATACAATTAACATTCAGTGAATAGGTCAGGAACAAAACTATTTACTGCTAATTTTTAGATAGTGCTCAACCTGTTCCCTATATTATATTCCCAAGCATTCCACTATACTGACTTGATGTACACTTTTCATTTTTTAATGTTGACAGTCTGATGTTTCACTTTCTCTATGCCTAAGCACAAATGGGGAAAGCTGCTGGCAAAGAAAGGTAGATCATTGACTAATTATCATTGATGATTGGGATTAGACAGGTCTGGATGGACTCATTTTAATTTCATGCATAATTCTGGAACTAGAAAGGAGGACATAATAAACACATATTTCTATTTCTATTTCATTCTTTTAATAATTCAATTTTATAAATCACAGAGCAAAGATTCCAAGAAATCAAGAACTATTTTAGCTATCTTAATGAATATTTAAGCAAACTGACAGCAAAGCTAGCCACATTTCTTCATATTAAGAAAAATGAATGAGTACCTCTGTCCCTCAAACTGACAAGTATGTCTACTCAAAACAGAAATATATGTATGTATGTATGTATGTATGTATGTATGGATGGATGGATGGATGGTTTGTGGAAGATGCCTGTGTCAATTTCCAATGTTCAAAGATATATCTATTGCAAGGGAAGCCAAAATATAGAAGTGAGTTAAACAAAAGTAGCGTAGTACTATATCAATTTACAAGTTTTGCATAGCCTTTTTACAATGTGGCCATTACTAGTTTCTATTTGGGACATAGCACCAGGTATCAATACAAATTACTTCTGTGATTTCCAGAGCAAATACATATTTGTATGGACAAAATGCCGTCAACATCATACTCTTGCACCCAGAACATTGCCAGCATATCAGTGCCATTACTATAAAAAAGGCAAATGGGCCAACTTAAGCAACAGCAGAATTCTATGGTGATGATATCTACATGAAATATTGTAACTGCTCTTGGGTTTTCTGTACATACTCTGAACTTCCTGTATTGTTACTGCTCAAAGAATGTCACAGAAGAACTAACATTAGATCACAATTTGTTTAATCCACCATTTCCAAAATCAATTAATTTTCAGCTATATTAAAAACTACAAAAAAGTTCTGATGCAAGGTCCTCAATCAAATGTGAAGTATATATATCTATCTATCTTACTTCATGTTCATATCCTTGGAATTACAATGTGGCTGAAGGTAAACTGATAAAAATAAAATGGCATTAAAATGGCCTATAAAATAATTCAGATATTAGGACATTTAAGCTAAGGTTTCTTTGCAACTAAACTTTTTAATTCTTTAAGAGTTTAAGCATATGTATAGTTTAGTTGTGCTGAAAATCAGTGCTGTACTTCCATGTAATCTTGGTTAACCACTGGATTTGACTATGCTTGGATTTCAGCAAACCTCAATTGTATTCAGTTGCCACAGTAACTTTCCCACCACCTTTCTCTGGTGAATATAGGAAGCCCAACTTTCTCATTTTGGGCTCCACAGATATGGAGATTAAAATTGTATTTACTCTCATGTGGATTTTAAAACATAAAAATTAGTAAGTGAAAGATACTTCTCTCATTCTCTCAAATAGGGCAAGTTCTTTGTAAAGATGGTAGGGCAATGACCTTAAAGCAGAATTCAATTCTTTCTCCCTGTAACAAAACAGCAAATCCTACATATCAAGACAGCTTCTGTTCAAAGTCACTCTTCTTTGGACTTCTGCAGCACATGAGTAGGTATGCATGAAAAGATGGGGCTGTTTTGAGTACATACCAAGAAGGATCTCTGTCAGTATTCTATATCTGAGATTGGTTTTCCTAGAGCCAATTAGAATACATGTACTGCATTTGTTTCTCAAAAATACAACCACAGCCAATTGGTATATTTGAGTCTGATATTTTTGGTCTTATGCCTGCTAGGACCAAAAATATGTATCAAGAAGTTAAGTCTGCTTATTTTGTGAGTTAAAATCACATGGGTGTAGGAACTGTAATGAATACAGTGCTCCGGGAGCCTCTAACTTTAAAATGTAATAGTAAATAAATCTAAGTATAGTACATAAAATTATATATTGCAATGTCCTACCTGTCAATGAATACTTCAGCTTCAACCATAACACAAGAGCACACAATAGATACAAACTCAAGATTAACCGCGCCAAACTTGATTGCAGGAAATACGACTTCAGCAACAGTGGTCAATGTCTGGAATACTCTACCTGACTCTGTGGTTTCTTCCCCAAACCCCAAAAACTTTAACCTTAAACTGTCTACTATTGACCTCACCTCTTTCCTAAGAGGTCTGTAGGGGGCATGAATAAGCACACCAATGTGCCTACCATCCCTGTCCTATTTTTTCTTTCTTTTTCTTATATGTATCCATTTCATGTATTCATAACAATGCTTATACTTATACCCGTTACCTTATAATTGCTTGACAAAATAAATAAATAAAAATAAATAAATTGGAACACTGGAGACAGATGAATAATCCCAGTGAATGTGAATTTTTGGCAGTTCTAATTATTTTCCCTTAATGTTGTTTCTACCTGTTAACTATGATTAAAACAGCAGTCTGAAGCAGCAACAATTTTATGGATCCCAACATTCAAGAGCTTAAACTCCTTGACTAATTTTGCCTTTTACTGCAAATAGTGGTAATAAGTATGGGTGTTCAAAGAGGTAGTTTGCAAGGATTCGCCTCTCCTGCTTTGTGTCAGGATTCTGAAGTGCCACAAAAACCTAACAATAACTATGATGGATTGGGGAAAAGAAAGTTTTATGAAAAAGGAGCACACTGAAAAAGGGAGCCCAAAACAGCAACAACAAATACTGTTTAGCTTTGGGGTTGGTTGGTTGGTTGGTTTGTTAGAACACCTTCGGAAGTTACCCTGCTTATTTTAATAATTGGGCTCCATCTACTGTGGCCTGCAGCTTCCTTTGTTAGGCTAATCAAGCAACTAATACCCGTCTCTTCCACATTCAGCTGCTGCCCTTCCTCCCCTACACTAACCTCAAGGGACACTTAGATGCAGCAGCCCCAGTGCATAGCTGCAGCTAGAAGGAAGGATTGTAACGCCTGCGTTGATGCTTACCAGGCTAACAACGAGGGGGCCGTTTCTTTCTAAGAGGCAGAGCTATCTCAGCACGACATTGCACTTTCTGCACGCTTACCTCTCTAATACAGCCCCGAGAGGTTTTGTGGATGTCTCAGGCGCAGACACGAGCAAGCAACTGCTGCTTCGCGGGGGCATACGCACACTTCTTCGGAGACCCGAGGAAGGGGGCGGGGGTTTGGAGGCACCATTACGTATTTGCGGCGGCTTTCCTTTTGCTTTTTTTCCTCCCGCCGGCCTGCTTCCACGCGTGCATGTGTGTACCCGCACACACGCGTCACCCCCTCCAATACACACCCACCTTTGCTTTCTGGAGGGCGCTGAAGTGCAACCGGTGCACGAAGGGACTCTGCATTGGTGGAGGGGGCGGCCCGCGTCCTTCTCCGCTGCCTTCCTCCTCTCCATCGCCGTTGCCTGTGCCCCGGGTGCAGCATCCCCGGCCTCTCAGCCGCATTGTGCGATGCGAAAGAGGAGGAGGAGGAGGAGAGAAAAATCGAGGGGCGAGAGAGCGAAGAAAGAAAATGGGCGCAGTGGCTTTACCAAAAAAAAAAAAGGAGGGGTAAAGGGGAGAAAAACGTATTTCTGAGGAAGGAAAATAATAAAATTCGGGGTCGCGGCGAATAAATTAGGCCAACCGGGGCTGCCGTCGACAACGTAGTTAGCGGTTGCGGCGGTGGAAGAGGAAGAAGAGATCTGCTCAGCGACCTACCGCGGGCTCTCCCTGAACCGGCAGGGAGTGAAAGAGGATGCGCGGCTCTGTCAGACGCCGCTAGCAGGCTTTGGCTTCAGCCCCGCCCTCAAGGAAGTGCATGCGCAATAGGCGCAGTGATGGGGAAGGAAAGCGCGACAGTCGCTTGGCGGTTTTAGGACAAGGGGCGGGAAAAATAGAAGCAAAGACTCCGTCCGGAGCAAGAGCTGGCCGGCAACCCGCGCGGTCTTCATTTAGAAGGAAGTGGTTTATTTTATTTTTTTGACAATCCTCTTACCATCCTCTGGACACCTGCGTCCAATCTGTTCCAAGCAGAGCTTTAAGCAAACTTGGTTAGGGGACCTTCTAATTATTCCCTTATTTTTTTTAAAAAAAAGTCATTAATAATCATTTTCAAAAACAAGGCACGTACATTGACATATTCGTACATAAGATTTCTCCTAGAGAAGAAAGCTGGATTTTCATTTACATTAGAATCAGATGGAATGAGGATAATAATTCAGATTGATAGAACAAGCATACATTCTATAATGATTGGTTAGAGCCAGCAATACTTATTTAGGTCTAAAATACCTTGAATTATCCCCGGGGATGGCATTATACTGAATGTTCTTCCAAATAAACGTGCAGGAACATTGCTAACCTTACCACAAATACGTCTTAAGTAAAACATATTTTACAAAATATATAATTGTATTACATTATGAATGGTAGTGGGGATAAGTGGTATTGCTCAACTCAGTTTTCTAAATGAATTGGAGACAAGTATAGAAAAGGAACAAGACATTGGCTGATTGTCAGCAATAGTGAGCAAAAACTATTAATGCATGATGTTTAGTAGTGGTATTAATTGATTTCAAAAGTGTATGTAGCGAAACAATTCTGTTTTATATAATAAAACATTGTTGCTGCTAAATTGTGGACAGAAAGTTATTTCCATATGGGAACTAGTCCACCGGCTGCTAGTCTCTGCCTTTATATAAAATACAACTTCAGGCTTGCTTCCTATCAAAATGAAAATACTAATGTAAGACTTCTGTACTGTTGTTTTTTTCTACCTTAGATAAGATACATCAAAGAGTATTGTTCCTTGAAATAAGAAAATGATACCCTGTTTCCCTGAAAATAAGACCTATCCCCAAAATAAGACAGCATGTTCACACATGTGCCTAATATAAGCTCTACCTCCAAAGTAAGCTCTACTTAAGAGCCTGTGCAGCCAGTCACTTGCCCATGCCGCCTGGTTGTTCAGTGTTGCAGCCACAAGGGGAGGAGGGATGGTGGTAGAGCTGCCCCATGTGCCCACACTGGCTTACCTCAAGGTCCCCACAGCCAGGCCATCCATGCTCCGACAGCAGCATTGGCACCCATGTGCAGCAGGAGCTCACATGATCGCCGGCCCATTTATTCTGCTTGCTCATGGCCGCAATGGAGCAGGAGGCCGAGCGGTATGTTGGTGCCACGGCTGCGAGGCAAGGCAGGTGTCTGGGAGTGAATGGCCTGGCTGTGGGCCCTGAGGTAAGCTAGTGTGGAGTGCTACCCACCCTTGCCTTGCCTCATGGCCACGGCACTGGCTTCCTGCTCTGGTGTGCCATGAACAAGCAGAAGATGTGGGCCGGTGACCACGCGGGATACTGCTGGACAGGGCTACTGGAGCCACCACCACAAGGTGAGGCAGGTGTGGGTGGCCTGGTTCTGGGGCCCTGAGGTAAGCCGGTGCAGCGTGTGGGGGGCAGCTTTACTTCCCTGCTTCATGGCAGCAGCACTTGCATGCCATGCAGCCTCCTGTTCTGCCACGAGCAAGCAGAAGAAGTGGCTCTTCGTGGAAACCCCCCCCCCATAAACCCTAGTGCTTCTTTTGGGATCCAAAAGAAAATAAGACCCGGTCTTATTTGTGGGGAAATACGGAGCATAACAACTTTTATTCTATTTTTATTAATTCTGTCTCTTAGATTCAATGAAAGTTTTAATTACAGGCTTGATCTCTTGAAATTATATCAATATATTTGGACATATCTGTTAGAAATTCTGTTTATATATAGTACTACAAATCAAACGGAGTACAGTCACCATGTGCTTTACTGCTACATATAAACAGAATTTCTAGCAGGTTATGGGCCTAGAGACTGCATCCAAGTGTGTACCATGTTTTCCCCAAAATGCAACTTACCCTGAAAATGAGCCCTAGCCTGATTTTTTGGATGAGCGTAATATAAGCGCTACTCCCAAAATAAGCCCTAGTGAAGGGGTGGGGTGGCCAGCACTGGAGGCAGCCCTTCCCTTCCCCAGTTACCTCATGGAGTCTTAGCCTCTTAATCATGGCCATGAATCAGCTGAGCCAGCAAGAGCCAAGAGCTGCCTCTCATTCTGTCTCTTTGGACACCTGGAAGTGTTTCTAGTGCACTCTTGCCAGCCCCAGCCCTGCCCATGGTGCCAGGTAACCTTGCAGCCAAGGGCCCCTCTCTCTGCAGCTCATCCTGTGGCTCTGGAGCAGGCAGTGACCAGGGTTTGCACTCTGCCAGGCCAGGAGCTCAGGTCTTGGTTAGGCTGCTGCTGCAATAAAGCCAGGTGGAATGTTGGAATTTACTCCCCCCCACCTCTGCCCACCTGCTGGACCTGCTGGACCTGCTGCTGCTATCCTCACTGAGCCTCATCACCCTCCTGGCTGCACTCCTGGCATGAGGCAGCTCTGCCCAGATCTCTGGTGCACCTTCCCTGTTGATGGTCTGTCAGGGCCACTTCGCCAGCAGTTGCACTGCCCTGTGTGAGCTCCATGGGGGCCCTGCAGCAGGAGGGAGGAGGGAGGGGGAAATCACCCCTTCCTCCTTTGCACCCCAAAACCCCATCTTCCCGGGTGCCAAGCCCCCAGCCTGCACCCCCTTGCTGGAGCAAGATGTGCAACTCAATGTTACCCATGGAGGCCTCACCGTGCAACATACTGCCACAGCTCTGCTGTGAAGCAAACCTCCATCTTTCCTGTTCAGGATTGCAAGGCTAAAGGCTTCGGATGGAGCATTTTTGGGATGTGCATCTGTGCAGGGCTTCTCAAGGAAAGGACGATCGGCAGGAAAATGGGGGTGTGTGTTTCCTGTCAATCGTCCTTTCCTTGGGAGCCCTGCATAGACGTACACCCCAAAAATGTTCCCTCCGAAGCCTCCAGCCTTGCAATCCTGCACAGGAAAAGCGTAGGTTTGCTCCAAAGCTGCAGCACTTGGAGACCTTTTAACACCTGCCTCCATGCGTCTTTGCCACAAGGAAAGGATGATCAGCAGGAGGGGGGTGCTTTGGGGAGTTCTGGGAGTTGAAATTCACAAGTCTTAAAGTGGCACACAGCTACACATGCTGCTGCTGGCTTCGAATGGGCTCTTTGCCCTCCTGGCAGCGTTGTTCTCAACCAGCCTGCTGAGCTGCTGCTGCCTGCCATAGTGAAGGCCGGGATGTGCTGAGAGCTTGGCCCATTGCAGCTTCGGGCAAGCAGTAATTGGGATGGACAGGGCGAGGTCAGTAGTAGCTGTGCTCCTACTCCCGTTGGCCCACACGATGGCTGCTTCCACAGCAAAAAACAAAACAAAAAAAACCCTTCCCTCCAAATAAGCCCGAGTGCTTATTTTCAAGCCCAAAACAAAATAAGACTGGGTCTTATTTTCAGGGAAACACGGGTAGTAACTGTTTCAAATGAATTTGTCGTATCGGCCGATATGATCACAAAAGACGCGAGGCAGTGACTGGTTTTAGCTCTTTTTATTCAGGTTTTAAAATCTGCCGCCGGCTGCGTATGCGGCGGCTTATATTGAACTGGTGCCGGGCGCAGCGGCCAATGACAGCTGTTCAAATTGCCCGCGATCGGCTCGGCCAATCGCGGTCGATTCAGAATGGCCAATCAGTGCCGTGCGCTCGACCAATCCGGTTGCTGTGCGCTTGTCCAATCAGGATTGCAGGATTCCAAGAATGCTAATGTCCATACAGAACAGAATTGTTTTGCAGAGCTAGATCTCAGGAAAGTTTTAGAGTAAAGGTTGGGGTGTTTTTGGTTTAAGTGCAGAGGCAACTTTGTTTATGTATCTGAATTCTACCTTGTCTTTTTATACTGACAAACACAGCTCTTACTTCAACTACAGTTTCTATTCTATTACAGTTCATTGATCAACTACAATAAAGACAATGAAGTATATAAATGCTAGGGTAAGTTCTCAGAGTGGGACTTGCTGAGGTCAGCCAGGATATTTCATAACCTGCTTTTATAATACATACTTCAATTTTTACAGCTTGTTGTTTCAGGAGGCATCACTCTATGGTTGGTGCCCCTTTACAATAAATGTTGACAATGATCATTGTTATTTTTCAGAGCAGTCCTTGGACTGTTAGTTGGTTAACTGTATGGTACTGATCCTTATGATAAGATGAAACAACCTTTATTTACTATCTTGAGGGGTTTTAGACTGGTTTTATTGTAGAGCAGCTTTTCTCAGCCTTTGGAGCCTGAATGAGCCCTTAAAGTATTTTTCAGGCCTCAGGGAATCCCTGCATGTTCAGGCTGAAATATAGGCCACAAGTTACAAAAAGTGTAGTCCTGCATATTTGCATTAACTAAAGAACCTTCCCTTCCCTCTCCCCCTCCCCTCCCCACTGCTTTATGGGTGGCTCCTGCTTCTGCCCAGGCCAGGCCCGATCCAGATCTCCTGTACCTGGTCTGAGACAGAGTGCCCACCCGGGCCACCTGGGCCTGCAGAAAAGCAGGTATGTGCCTGCTGCCACTGGTGCCCAGGCCAAGCCAGGCCTAGATTTCCT